TCTCATTCTTCGACAGAACTGTAAACTAAGGCTATTCTATGCCAAAGACAGTGAAAACAACCTCCTCATATACTTTCCAGAATGGGCAAATATGCCCAACCTGTCCTTGCCCAAATATTACGTGCTGACGGCTACAACGGCATTTGGTCTTTCAAGTAAGAACATTTCAAAAGCTGCCTAGAGGTTACTGATGATGCATTAGCAAAGCTTCGTGTTTGTATTAATGCTAGAGGGGATCTTCTGTGTTCTGTGAATAAGTGTCCTCTAATTCATTTTTAATAATTGCGTTTCCTTAGGAAGCCTACCTTTTCTCAGGTATTGGGAAGGTCTTTCCCACAGACCATTCTCATAGCCACTTTCAGAAAGGGCTGAAGGGCTGTAAGTTTTACTGCCACCCAGCAGTAAAGGCAGGAAGGAAGGGACGGAAGAGGGAGGGCACGTGAGGTTTTTTTAGCTGCATTAAGTGGAGGCGGGTCTCGCTGAAGAGCAGCAACTCCACCTTCTCACACCCAGGAAGATGGCAAGTCCACCCAGGGAGGACAGGCCCCAGCAGCCTCACTGAAGTCACAGAAGTGTTAATCACGATAGGACAAAAACAGGACTTACGATGATTACCTCTCTCAAAGAGAAAAACGTAGGCACGGGAGAAGCAGAGTGTGATTCATAGTACTGCGTAACTCACTTTTCCAACTGGGGACTGCCGTGCCCTTTTCTATAATGAGAACAATTTGTGAGCTGATCACTGAGGACATCATTCCTTTTCACAAAATTGAAAATATTTTATTTATTCATTTTTAGAGAGAGGAGAAGGGAGGGAGAAAGGGAGGGAGAGACACATCAAGGTGTGGTTGCCTCCACACGCTCCCTCCCCAGGACCCAGCCAACAGCCCAGGCATGTGCTCTGACTGGGAATTGAACTGGCGACCCTTTGGTTCGCAGGCCTGCACTCAGTCCACTGAGCCACACCAGCCAGGGCCAAAATTGAAAATATTTTAACAGTAAGTATCAGAAGCAGAGCTGAAGAAAAAGTAGGAAATCTGCATTCTCAATGAAGTATCTCCATCAAAAAACCAATTCAAGGATAACTATATCACTTAACTACTGATTGTAATTATCTGGCTATCTCCAGAAACCACAATAAAAGTTAGCTATTATTACAATAGCTTCTAGTATATTTATCATGATAATGACCTTTTAATTGCTTTCATTTTTCCAAGAAAGTAATAAGTTAATAAGAACAAATGAAAAATTCCAAAAAATAAAATCATCCAAAAGTAGTACATCATCTCTTATCAGACACTGAAGAGTTCTGAGACTTGAAAGAGGATCCAATAAGCTGCCCTTTCCTTCATTTCTAGATAAAACGTTTTGTATGGAGTAGATCCATTTTATAAAGAACCCCCCCCAAAAGGTCTAACTTATAAGCCCTTTAAAAATGCATTTGCCTCTCTTTCATACATCCATTGCATGCAAATGAGCAACAGATAAGCCAGAAAAATCAATAACCAATTTTAAAGAGGTAATTTTCCTTTAGCTTAAATATTCACATTTATCAGAATCAAGTAGGTAAAAGACAAAACTTTGAATTAAGGGCATAAAGAAGTAAAATCTCAAATTATTCTTTTTCTAAAATCATTTTTTAAAAGGTTTTATTTAATTTTAGAGAGAGGGGGTGGGAGAGAGAGAGGAAGAGAAATATCAGTGTGTTAGAGATACATCAACCAGTTGCTTCCTGCATGCCCCCATCTGGGGATCCAGCCTGCAACCCAGGCACGTGCATTGACTAGGAATTGAACCAGCAGCCTGGTTGGCACTCAGTCTACTGAGCCACACCAGCCAGGGCTCAAATTACCCTTTAAATTAAATAACACTTTTCCCCTCTGTTCTAATCCACACACCCATTCTAGGACCATGCTTCATAAGCTGCTACCTCTGGCTCCATTACCTAGGCACATGAACATACTAAGGGTGACTCTATCTTTAAAAAAACAAAAAAATCCCTAATTAGTACCTCTCCTTTAAGCTACCACCAAGTCCATTCTTCACTTCTTCAAAATGTACTCCCTATTCCTTGTCTGAATCTCCTGCAGCCAACAAACCTCTTCTACCACAACCCCAGTGGAGCCTCTATCTCTGAGAATTACCACTGTGTCGGTCACTTCAACAATGGCCTTACTGGACTTGACCTCTCCATTACTTCCCACACCACTGACCAACCAATCCCTTCCTTAGCTCCCATCTCTGTACTCCCAGTGTACTCTGTGATAGCAGTCTCCAAAATCAGTCCTTTGGCCATTCATTCACCCATTTACTCAACAAAAGATTTTTTTAAATCCTTTTTTTTTCATTAAAAAAAATGTTGACTTTAGAAAGAAAAGGGGGGTGACAGAGAGAGAGATGGAAACATTGATTTGTTGTTCCACTTACTTATGCATTCATTGGCTCATTCTTATATGTGCCCTGACTAGGCATTAAACCCACAATCTTTGCACGACTCTCTAATCAACAAGAGATTTTTAAGTATCTACTATGGGTCAGGCTAAATGCTAAGCACTGGAGACAAAATAAAGAACAAAACAGGGGTCAACTCAATTCTGCAAAAGATATAAAAATAACAAAGAATAAAGGCATAACACAAAACTTATGAACTCCATTTTACTCATCTGGGACTGGTTTCTAAAATATTGTCTCATGTAAATAAAAACTGTCATAATTGGTGGTCACCAGATGGGAGAGGGTTTGGGAGATGGGAGGAAAGACATGAAAGGGATTAAGTATAGACTGCACATTATAAAATTAGTTATAGCAGGAAAAACAGTCATGAGGATGTGAAGTGCAGCACAGGGAATAGAGTCAATATCGTAATAACTGTGTGTGGCGTCACATCAGTGCTAGACTTACCAGGGCCATCACTTTGTAAAGTACATAAATGTCTAATTGCTATGATGTAGCCCTAAAACTAATATAATATTGCACATTAACTCTAATTGAAAAATAAATTTAGCCCTGGCAGGTGTGGCTCAGTGGACTGAGTGCAGGCCTGTGAACCAAAGGGTCGCTAGTTCGATTCCCAGTCAGGGCACATGCCTGGGTTGTGGGCCCGGTCCCCAGTGGGGGGCATGTAAGAGGCAAGGGGCACATTGATGTTTCTCTCCCCCTCTTTTTCCTGCTCTTCCTCTCTCTAGCAAATAAATAAAATATTTTTTAAAGAAAAAGGAAAAAAAAAAGAGACCGGAAAAAAATCGGCTGCAAAGCAGATTACAGCTTTGTGATTTGTAGATATGACAGTGACACAAACGTAGGAGTCTATCCTGAAATAAAGCTTTAGAAACACATTCCTGGGATACTGTTGCCACTCTCACCATTTTAAAGATAAGTAAATCTGAAAGAAAACAGGTTTAACTTGTCTTAGACCACAAAGTAAATCTGTGGCAGACATTTGGGAAACGACAATTCCTTATTTCCAGGGTTAAGGCAAGAACCCATAATTTAACGTGCAATAAATAAGTTACAAGAAACATGGAAGAGCAATTTCACTCTTAGCATGAATAAGCTTAGGGAAGCTGTCAAGAACACTGAAGTTTACAACAGCAATGACCAACCAAACTCCTTGCCAGCATGACTTAATGTGACTTCGACTCAGAAATAGTTTTTTTTTTTCAGCATAATCTAACAGCACTAAGTCTCTAACTCTGCCTCTCAAATGTTTTCCTTGTTTTGTTAAACTCTGGCTGTTTAAAAGTATGATACATGCCATTGTTAAACTGACAAAGCCTATGTTGGAATTGGTTTTTGACAACCTTGCTTAAATCTGCTGTAGAAAGTGTTACTCATCTTCTCTCCTGCACTCAGTGTGCTGAACACAGTGTTTACCCTCCCCAAGTTTGAATCAGTCATTTTAGCCACATTAAAAATTATATACGGCCCTGGCTGGTATGGCTCAGTGGATTGAGCGCCTGCCTGTAAATCCAAAGGATTCGGGTTCAATTCTATATCAGGGCACAGATGTGGACTGCAGGCCAATGTTTCTCTCCCTCTCTCTAAAAATAAATTAAGCCCTGGCTGGTGTGGCTAGTGGTTGAACACCGGCCTGTGAACCAAAGCGTCGTCAGTTCGCTTCCCAGTCAGGGCACTTGCCTGGGTTGCAGGCCAGGTCTCCAGTGGGGGGCATGAGAGAGGCAACCACACCTTGAGGTTTCTCTTCCTCTCTTTCCTCCTTCCCCTCTGTCTATAAATAAATTAAATAAATAAATAAATAAATAAATAAAACCTTTAAAAAATCTTTATCTGTATTCCCAGGCTTCATATTTTAAGAAATGCATACTCAAGTATGCAGCTGTGAAATGACCTGACTGGGATTTCCTTTAAAAATACTTCCGAAAGGCGAAAGAGAAAGAGAGAAAGAGAGGAAGGAAGGAAGGGAAGAAGGAAGAGAGGGAGGAAGGGAACATTTTTTTGCAAAACATGTCAACTACTGAATGTGGGTGATGGCATCGGGAGGTTTCCTCTTTTCCCTCCACTTTGTCTATACTTGAAGTTTTTCCCAGTAACTTTTCACAAAATGATTCCCAAGCTCAGTTCCACTCCTGGTTATTAAACAGGAGTCAATGGATGCATGTGTTCTCGTCTTGGGAGCGAAACCGGGCGAAGGGTCTCCTCCAGCAGAGGCGAGGGCTCCTCCGGCCGGCCGGGCGGATGCGGGTTCCGCGCCACCACGCGGGCCGAAAGCGCGCACGTTTCCGTGGAGGCGGAATCTGACAACTCGCTCCGTGCGCGCCGGGGCTGGAGAACCGCGGAACTCAGTTTGGAGGAGGCGCACGCTGGGCTCCGCCGGCGGCTCGGGGAGCCCCGACAGACTCCGGGCCAAGAGCCCCACGGTCCGGACCAGGGTGGTCGGCATGGTTCCCCCCCCGCAGGCCCTTCTAGCCCGCCCGAGCCGCCCGCCCGGCTCCTTCCATCCCCGCCCCCCACCCGAACCTCCGCCCAGCCCCGCCGCCTACCGTCCAAGTCCTCGTCCTCGTCCGTCTCACTCTCCGGTTTCGTGACCGCCAGGCCAGGGCCGAGCTCTAGGTCCTGGGAGAAGGAAGGAGGGGTGGCGGGCGGGCTGGAGGCTAGGGCGCGGGCCTCGCGCAGGCGGGTGAAGTAGTCCACCGCGAAGTCGATGAGGTCGGACGGCCGTTGCCGTAGCACCTGCACGGTGTAGCCCTGCAGCAGCTCCGTGAGCCCCGGCGGGATCCGGATGTGGCTCATGCCGGCTGCGGCCGCGAGGGCAGGCGGGTCCCGGCCGCCGGCGGCCACTGCCTCCGCGCTCCCTCACGCCGGCCTCACGCCCGCGGCCCGCGAGGTCTCCTCACGCTCGACCACGGTCGGGCCTTCCTCGCCCCCGGCCGTGCCACCCTTTGGCCGGCTACGCGTTTCTGGGCCGCAGGACCCTACGCCGCTCGTACTGCCAGCCTGGTGCCGCCGCTGCTGTCACCGGGCAGCCGCCGCCGCCGCGCGACCGACCAGCGGGCAGGCGGGACGGGCGGGGCAGGAGCCGGGGTTGTGACGCACGCGGCTACGGGCGTGCGCGCCCCCGCCGAGGGCCGGCCTTCAGTGCGCGTGCGCCGAGGGGCAGCGCGCCCTGGCCAGTCCAGGTTTCAGCCACTGAACAGAGTCGTTAGCGCCTTTGACCTAGTCTTAAAGGCCTTTCATTTATTCTTTCAACATGCGCCCAGAGCCTCCTGTTTGCCAGCATTTACTAGACGCCTGGGATACAGCCTATGGGACACGTTGGAGAGCTAGTGGACCCTTTAAGGGGTGACATTCAAGTTGACTTCCAATCCTGGACAGGATCCAACTTCGGACCTGTAGGAAGGCCATCTGAGCATAGTGCACAGTGAGAGCGAAGGTCTGGCCGAGTCAGGACCACCCTGGCCAGCAGGTGGAATGGTGGAATGACCACAGGACGCTCAGGCAGGTCTGTGAGATGTCAAACAGGGAAGGCTTTGTGTATAGTAGGAGTTCCAATGACATAGTAATTTGGGAGCCACAGGCACACAGCCTGAAAGGCCAAATGTGTACCTTGAGAAATGGGAATAAAGCCATTGCAGGCATGACCTCTGTGCCTGTTCTTTTCCTTGAGTACTCCCACCAGGGGTCCCAGGACTAGGTCTGCATGTGCCTTTCTCCCCACACTCCACCCTGAGTTCTGTGCTTGATGATGTTGAGCAGACCACAAAGCAGTGTTATCCTTTGCCCCTAGGGGAGGGACACAAGCAAACTGGAAGGGCCAGTCTATTTCCCAAGTTGTCCCCTTTTACCCACACCAGATTGGAAGTGAATAGGAAAAGGTGAAGATCGTCTTGGATGTCCATGCCACAGCCCAGGCACCGACCAAAGGCCCAGTGGACATAGGACAGAGCCCTCCCTCTCTTTGCTGGGTCCCACCAGAAAGAGACTAGCTGTATGTAGTCTAGGGAACCTGAAAGGCATTTGATCCAGGTTGGTTAAGCTCCGCCTGGTAATTACCCAGTATCGATTAAAATCCTCACTAGGACCGCTCATATTCGCTTGGCACACAGCCAGAAGATCAGTGCTGTGGGTGCAGAAGCCACCCAAGCTCTAGGCCAGGCAGGCCTGTGATTCCAAAGAGCAGTGTCTCCTTAGTCAAGTTCATTGACCCCTGGAAGGAGTTTCAGACCACCAATTTTGTGAGGGGAAGGGCAGTGTCCAACTTGTTGCTTGCTGGACACCCTCAGAGAAGGTTTACTGGATGAAGGAACGAATGAATGAATGATTCCCACACAGCAAGCAGGGCCAATTAAACTGCTCTCTTGACCTCACGGTCTCAGAATTAGGATTCTTTGCTCCAAAGCTGTGCTTCTGATCTCAGAATATAAAGACTTCACTAAGGACAGGCAGTGAGGGCTGGAGGGGCATGGTTTCTCAACTCTCCTCTGCTGTTGGGTAGACCAACCTTTCCAAGTTGTCCGGGAGTCGGCCCACACCCAGGAAACCTGGGTGTGACTCCCGTTGCTGCCACACCTGAGGATGTGCCCCCACTTCGAATGGTCCTACAACCAACCCTTTGGAAGGGCAAAATCACATCTCCACTCCCTGGTTTGCCTGTTTGTCAGGTTTTATATATTCGAAAGGGGGACAGGCACCTTTCGAATACAGTTAGGACTCTGGCCTCAATTACAAGATAGAGTAGAGGGAGACTAGCTACTCCAGGGTTGATGAGCTGGGTGTGGTGGGTTCTGCCAGTTGCTCTAAGCAACACCCATCAGACTCTGCTAGAAGCAGGCTGGCTTGCCTGGCTTGTGCTCATATGCCCCGCAGCTTGGTCAGCCAGCCAGCCAGCCAGCCAACGTGGCATTCAAAGGCATCCTTGGACCCGAAGGGAGTAAGGCTCCTTACCTGTGTCCACAGACTACCCTCAGAGTAAGAAGAGACAGCCAGCTCCCAGGCCCGGCTGGACAGCCGGGCTGCATGCTGCCCAGAGCAGAGAGAAAGCAGAAAAGGGAGCCCGATGGGAGCACCTGGTTGTGGGGCCCTGCCAGTGGCTATTGGGACTCTGTATGTCACCCCTGGCCTGACTCACAAGCCCGTTGCCTGGGCTTTGACCCTGCATTTTACAGATAGGCCTCTTGGAGCTTGAGTCAGGTAGCCCCAGGTCAGTCTTTGAGAGCATCACAAGCCTTTCTGCAGGCCTCTGGATATCCAGACACCACTCTATTACCCCCACTCTGCTACCAACTTGCTGATGATCTTGGCCGAGCAGTTCACCCTTCCTGAGTCTTGATTTCCACATCTGAAGGGGTGGGGGCTAAAAATCCCTAGCCATCAAACATTGAGTTACATGGGGATAAGGGATGAAAATGAACCCCTGAAGAGGTGACAAAGGGCATAGGGGGTTCCAGCCTGGAAAGAACTGTGGGTAGAGATGGTATGATATTACAGCAGAAATGGTGCTACTATTGCTTCTAATGGGCGGCTGTTGCAACAACCTGCCCCCTGTCCTTCACATTTCACCCAGTTATACTCTGCTTTGTGCCTGGTGAGGCTAATATCACCAGCTGGCCGTTTTAACAAACATTGTCTGGCTTCTACTTTAACGCTTTCTGTGACAGAGAAATTGCTGCAGAGGGGCCCAATCTCTTCCCCACCCGTACCCCCATCAGGGAGAGAGGAGATATTTCAGAACAGGTGGCATTTCAAAGTGCATCATAAAAAGGAAGTGCCAGCCAGGAGGGAGTTACTCACCATCTGCTCTGCTCCCTTCGCACACATGCCCCCAGGGGCTTCCCTATTTGACTTGAGTCTACCGAAGACCCAAAGGAGTAGAAGAATCTACCACCACTAACATCAAGGAACCAAAAACATTCCATTTGAAAATAGAAGCTGTTTCAAAGGGCAAATTATCCAGAAGCGCAGACTGTAAAAGATCCGGAGCCATGGGAATGGCTGGCATTTCACTGGAATGCAAATGCACTCCCAGGGGCTTCCCAGCAAAGGGCGAGGTCTCAGGAAGGTCTCAAAAACTGGGTCGTGCTGACAACAGCTTCAGGAGACACATATATGGCCACCTCCAAACCAAAAAGGTTAAACAGAGACATCCCGCAGCACGAGAGCAGCGGGCACACAACTTTCATCTTAGAACGCTATTTTTTTAACTGGACCATAGTTCCTGTCTGGTCCTCTAGAAATATCTTCCCAGAAATAAAGCCTCCTTCTTGAAACCCCCAAATCTTCGGCTTCCCCCCAGGTAGGCCACGCCTACTCCCGGATGTGTGTGGGTCCCTGCCCCACCCACCCATTTACATAGAGTGCTGGCTGGAGAGCCACAGTCCAAGGGTCTCCCTGTAGCGGCAGCAGGCAGGAAGTGTAAGTGCAACAGAACTGTGACTGCCAGATGGGACACTGTCAGAGCAGCTCAGCTCCAGTAGCCTCCCCCTCCACCAACCAGGCAAGGACAGACTAGCTTGTGACTCTCTGCTCCAACTTCCTCACCTCCTCAGGCAGCACCCGGGCACCCTCCTCAGCCTGAGGAGCAAAGCCAGGCTGGTGACATCAGTTCACACAGCCACCCAAAGCTCGTGTGAATACTCAAGACCGCTTCTGGTCTTTGAGAACAATCGATTCTCCATCTCTTAGCTCAGACATCTGTGTGGCTGGGCGCAGAAAGGCTAAGGAATGACCGGATAAGCTGCAGGCTGGGTGTGTGGGGCCTGCACGCCAGGCTTGCACTGGGAGTTATGAGAACAGTTACCAACTGAGTTGCCCCGCCACACCCTACTCCACCTAAAGCAGCTGGGGCTGGAGCAGTCAGGGAACGGCTGCCTGGCCAAAACTGCCCCCTTTTTCTCCTGATGGAGCCTGAAGCAACCAGGAAAGGACACCCAATCCCTGACAGCCTCTACCAAGGCCACAGGCTGCCTGCTGAAATGATCTAGATTCAAAAGAAAAAAAAAAACTCACACAATGCAAAAATTACAAACAATATTTATTGTTTCCTGTAAAAACAGGGGGCTCTCATGAGAAAAGAATGTGCAAAGAGAGGCTTCCAACACCTTGGGATTTCTCATTTATCCTAGCAGGCTGGGACTGCCAATTTAAAACTCTCCTCACTGTGTAGGAGGGAAAGCTCTCCACCTTTTCCTGGGAAATTAGACTACTCTAGATTCAATTTTGATTACTTGCATGCCTTAAAAAACAAACAAACCCAAACCCTATAGTTATCAGGCTATCTGCCCTACACATTTGCTCATTCCACTTGACAGACAGACATGGGCCTCAAGTTCATACCCCGCTGTGCGGGTCAGGATAGGATGATACCACAGACATCCGGTGGGTGTTCCTGCCTAGGGATCAAAGAAGCCCCTGGCTCTGGGTCAACTGGCCAAAAACACAGATAGCACCTCCAATGAAAAGCCAAGCTTTTCTCTTTTGAGACCAGCATTTCGGGGTATACTAGGGCCAGCAGTCAACCAACCCATAGGCAGTTCTCAGGCCACAGGTGGTATCTGGTCTAGAAGCCACTTACTCCATCTCCAAATCTTCCTGAGATCCCTTAAACGGATAAGAGTGAATTCAAGTTTCAAAAGGGCACGCCAGGTTATACCAGGTAGAGGATGTCATTAAGGCAAACGGTCTCAACAAGTCCACGCACAGAGCTCTGATCTCACCCACCCCCTGCCCTCCCCCTTCAGGAAGGCCTAGTCCTGCCCACTGCTCCTCTTTGGTAACCGTTTCCAGCATCCAGAAGCCTTGAGCAGCCTTCAGCCTCAAAAGTTGGGGGCGATCCAATTAAGGAACTTCATGGCAACTTCAAAGCCAAGGAAACAGGCCTGAGAAGGGTTTGGAAGAAGAGAAAAGCCAGCAGGAGTGGTCACTATTCAGAGAGACCCCAGCACCGCGTTTGGCTGGCCCTGTCAGGACCAGAACCCCTCCCTAACCTCACCCCCACCGCACCCAGGTCAGGGAATCGAGCTGTGCTTTCTCATTCCCAAGAGGGAAGGAAAATGCACATTCCACAGCTGTCCACTTCTGATGGCCAGGTCAGGTCA